TCGGGCTGACCTCACTGGGGACGTTGAGAGATGCCAGCAGTCCGTGTCGGCGTTGCAGAACACGGTCACCAGCACGCAGACGATGGTGGTGGAGTCCTGCAAGCGTCTTGCCAACCAAGTGGATGTTCGGCTGGCACCAGCTTTGGAAGCACATCGTGAACATGCACCGAGTATGGCATCCATGGAGAGCGATATAAAGCAGTTCGAGACGGAGCTGGGAGTGGCTCGAGCAGCTGAGCCGGCGTGACCACCAATGGTGTCGTCGGCTGTGTGGCAACGGGGGGCCGACGCGACGGTCATCGTGGAGCGCTGCCAGGAGTAGATGGCGAAGCGAGTTGTCTCAGCATGTGGATGGGGGAGCAGAACGTGGCGGCCAACGCTTGGCGCATGGAGGGTGAGCCTACTGGGCGGCGCTTCCTGCTGCGCATCGGTGGCACGGCGGGCTGGGCGAATCGTTTGGCGCTGCAGTCGCTGGGCTCGCTCCGTCCGCAGCAGCGCGAGCAATCGTGGAGGCAGTTCGACGGTGTGTCAATTTCGAGCAGCAGGACAGAGATCTTCCTGGGCCCCGACAAGAACGCGAAGCGGATCAAGACGGAGCAGGCCTTCAAAGCAGCCAAGGAAGTTTTCAACGGATGTTACCCCGGGCACAATGTCTTCAGCGATCGGGTCACAGGCACGATCTCGTTCAATTGGAAGGCGCCGGCGCAGGTGGAGCCGAAGAAGGGCAGTGAGGACCCGATCATCAAGTATTGTCGCGCGGCATGTGTCGTCAGCCTGTACCCCTTCGAGTAGTTGCGTGGAACGCGAGCTCGCTTCATAACCATCGGCGCAGAGCCCGCTTGCGTCGCCATCGGTACCTCGGCAGGCTATTGCAGGAGGGGGCCATCGTTGCGATTCAGGAGGCGCGCGGGACGGCTGCTGAGGTTAGCGACGTGCTCCACCATCTGAATAAGGACTTTTATTTATCCTCCTCCTTCTCCCCTCTGTCTCGCAGGATTGTCGGTGTGGTGTCTTTTTTTTTCCCCCTGAGTTTCCCGACTCCCAGGATATCCTCGCTAGTTGTGGCGTTGAGCGCCCAGTCGTTTCTTCTTCCTTTCTTATTCCTGGTCGCGCTCTCTATGCTCGTTTCGCCAACGTCGATGACGCTGTTTGGATTTGACATCATAATAATTTCAACGAAAAGTTTTCGGCCTCGGACGCGCGGATGATCATGGATACGATGCATCTCGACCTCGCCCTTGCGGCAGCGGATCCTCTGCGACGTCTTGCGGTGCTCGCGGGTGATTTGAGTCTCGGCGCCTTTCCCCGACATCGTCTGACTCTCCTGGCGATCCTGCGGAGCGCCCCGATCGGCTCGCCCCCCTTCCTGCGCCGGCAATCTGCCGCGAACTTTTAGGACTGCGCACGGAATGCCAATCGAAAGGCCCCGCCCCGCACCGCCACTGGAATAACGTTCTCTTACATTGATCGGGTCTTCCGTTCGGCCCTTGGCTAGGTCATGCGCCAGTTCGCGACGGGCGGGGAAGTCTTGGATCGCCCCGGGGCACTGCGGGCTCAGGAGACGTTGAACCACAGCGCGGTGGCCGTGTCTTTAAGAATTCGAGGGCCGCCGCCCAGAGGACAGCAGCCGATCCCCCAACAGATATTTGAGACGGCCGATTGGAGGCGCTTCGTGGCGTTGGCCGTGGAGACGGTTCCCGTCGATGGACTCGAGAGTTGGCCGAAGCGCGCGCGCTGCGAGAGATCGATGATAGCAGGAGCGCGTCATGCGCGCAACAGCATCACACTCCGTCGTCCATTGTCGTTGCTCGGCATGTGCATGATCATGCGGAGTGCTGCGCGCACATCTTTTCAGCGGGATGTGCGTCTCCTCGGAAGTCTCCGCGTCCCCCACTGTTGCGCACGTGATCATCTGGCCATTGATTTCGGGGCGAAGACGGCTTCTTGGACTTCCCACGAGTTTTTTCACGGAGCCCCCGAAACAGTTGCACTCCGGGGTGGCCCAACACAGCTCGCCCAGATCCTCGATGCCGCGGATGCCCACGGGAAACCCCAAGTTCAAGATCAATTTCGCGATCGGGCTCGTCGCGCGCAAAAGGTTTCGCAGTTGTGGCCCCCTTTCGTCCGGAGAGTTTCCGGTCGGAGTTCGGACTCCTGGAGGGTTCTCCACGCGCGCGGTCGTCGCCGGGAACCGGCGTTTACGAGCGGGGCGTTCGACGAGGCTTGCGCGCGGCAGTTCCTGTCCCAGTTCCCTGTGCAGATTGTGTCGATGGACATCCCCATGCCTTAGTCTAAAGACGCGGCTAGGCACCTGCGGCGCCTGCAGCACTCCGCGCCTGGCCGCGCCCCCCCCCAATGCGCCGCGTGGATCCGCGCGCCCCGTGGAGCTGACATCCTGCGCGGCAGCGCGCGTCGCGCCCTCGGGGACAACCAGGCGCGTCGGCGATTGAAAGAGACGCTTGGAGCATTGACCCTGGAGGGGTGGGGGGGGCCGGAAACGCCAGCCCCCCGGGCTTCAAAATCAGCGACAACATAATCATCACGAACACGTGCTGTCGAGCTTGAGTAAACGCATCCCTGGCTGCCTGGCCACCTCGCAAAATAGCTTCGTGGCGGGGGGAACTTCGGGGCTGATATCGTTGTGTTAGATGCGTTCTCGCGGGAGGTAAGCACCGTTGATATTGGAGGCTCGGCCACTGGAGTCGTCTTTGGCTTTGGGCAGGCGTTCCCGTCGGCGGCGCAGCAGTGGGCCCGCGCGGTGATCATCTCCTTCCATCCCTCAGCACCTGAAAGCCCTCTTGATGATCCTGCGTGGGAACGTTGTGCCGTGGGCGCATCGGTGGAGTTCGGGGGCCTCTGTCCTGGGTGGCGAGGGGGGCGATTCAAGGAGGCCCTGCCTCGGGGTTTATCTTTCCGATCATCCTCGATCCGTTCCTTCGGAAATGTCGGTCGGTCCTCGATGGCCCCGACGATGGCAGGGCCCGCGCTTGCACCGGCGACGTAGTGACCGTTGTCCGCGGGATCTAGCTGCGAGGACCTGCGCGCGAGATCTTTCGGGGAGCGCAGAACGTCGCATATTTTCCTGAAGATTTTCCAGCGCTGCCTCGCCCCGTTCGGCAGCGAGTTCTCCGACGCGCTTGCTCAGGGATGCAGGCGCTGGCTTGAACGGATCATCCCCGACTGGGCTGCTTTCGGCATATCTGACCGCGTCAAGTACTTGAGGCTATGGCTGGGCCCTGGGGCCAAAACGCATCATGGGGCGGTCCGTTCAGCAAGAGCGAGAAAGGGTGATCCCTTCTGTCGGCCACCTCTGCTGCCGGGCAGGTTACTGCGAGTATGTGCCTCGAGCGCGGGGCCCCTGTTCGATCTTATGTGGGGCAGTTTTTGTTCTGCCGATTCAGCTTCGTCGTCGGGGGTTCGCTCAGCTCGCTCGGACTTTGAAGGTCCCGCGCTGTTCGATTCCTCGCGGGGACTGATACGACCTGCACTTGCTCGGAGGCCCCAAGCTGACCGTCCTGGCTGCAGCGAATGCGGCGCATCTGATCTGCATTTCACGACCTCGGGGTGGCGCGAGGCCCATCGACGGCTGCAAGATGCCGCGCAGTTTAACCTCCCGCTCGTGCGAGTTCTGAAGGTACAGCTCTCGCCCAGCTGGTGGAAGTTCGAGCCCATTGTGGCGGCGCTTGCCGCGGCAGCCGGGGGATTTCCTGATGACCTTGTCCTTGGGCCAGCATGCGTGCGCACATGGAGACAGCTTGAACATTGCATGGGTGAGGACCCGAACTCGGCGACACATGCTCTCCACCCACAGCTTTTCTTGTGTTGTCACATCGTATTTGAACTCTATCCTAACATCCTGGAGGACACGGTGGTGAGAAGGCAATCGAGCTGGCTGCTCGCCCTGCAACCACAGTTCGACGGCATCGACTGGGGTGCAGTGAAGAATGTGATGGCTTCCCTCCCCCCCTCGTGGTGTAGTGCTATCTTGAAGTTTGTAATTGGGACTTGGATCGCACCACGCCTTTTGCAGAAAAACGAATGTTGTTTTCTCGGGTGCCGCGGTGGCCTCATCACAGCCTGGCATTTCTGGACCTACCCGCGTTTTTGGCGACTTGTTCGGGCTTCCGTGGGGATTGATGTGTCGGGCTGCCCCCCTAACCGATTTGGCCTGCTCTCCCCATCGGTAGAGTCATCTCAGCCAGCGGTGCATGCATAACCTCAGGAAGGCATTAAGAACCCCCCCTGGGTTATTCTTAGCACCCGGTTTTCTCAATATTCCAGGCGGGCAGTTTTAGCCGAACGATACACTTAGCACCCGCCGCACACAGAAAACAAAATCCACCATCGGCGGCCGCCCCACTAACGCCAAGAGAGGGTGTCGTGACGAATGTCAAGCCCTGCTAAGCCCTGCTAAGCCCTGCTATGCCCTGCTAAGCCTTGCTAAGCCCTGCTTGGCCCTGCTAAACTGCTTGGCAGGAGCAAATCTGCGCTTGGCAGGCCTTAGCTAGGCCCCGAGTCCCCTCAGCCAGGTCTTCCGGTGCGGCCATAACGCTCCAGGGTGCGGGGGCGTTATAATCCACCGGAAAAGGGGGGGGTGGTTCTTAATGCCTTCCTGAGGTTATGCTATGTACAATGCGTCGCGTGTGTTCCCATCTGCCGCGCGCCCTGCGCTGCCCGAGGAGGTGAGTCGGGGGCAAATCCGAGCGCAGGTTTAGGTCGATGCGGCCCCGTGCTTCGATGCGAGGATGCTGGGGACTCCGTTCTGGGCACGTTCGAGGAGCAGGAGGAGGAGCAGGAGCAGGAACAGGAGGTGGGCCAGGAGGAGGGGGAGGAGGAGGAAGAAAAGGAGGAGGAGGAGGAGGAGGCAAAGGAGGAGGAGGAGAAGGAGGAAGAAAAAAAGCAGGAGGAAGGCGAGGAGGAGGAAGAGGAGGACGAGGAGGAGGAGGAGGACGAGGAGGAGGAGGAGGAGGAAGAGGAGGAGGGTGAGGAGTCTGGGACAGGACCCGGCCCCGTGCGCCCCCGACTTCCCGGCCTGCGCCCTCCCCGCGGGCGCCGGCCGGCCTGCCCTGGGCGCGCCCCCGGGCGCGGCCCCGGGCGCGCCGCGGGCCGCCCCGCGGGAGCGGCAGCGGCAGCCCCAGCGGGAGGCCCCGCGCTTGCAACAGGCGTCGCGGGCCCGCGCGAGGAAGTCGGGCGCGTCCCTCTACACATTCTGGACGCCCGACAGGGGCACGGAGAGCATGGGCGCAATGCCCAACAGCAATCCTTGTTCCCTTTGAGCAGGATTCGCTGTTCACGCCGCCGCGGCCTGTGTCCATTCGAGACAGAAGGCCGCCTGCCCAACAGCGGCCGCTGTTGGTTTGGGACAACATTTGTTGTTGGGCATTGTACCCATTTCGGGCGTCCAGATACATCAAGCAGTGGCGAAGCGTTTGGCTCGCATATAGCCCTACCAAACGGTGTTCCAAGAACCTTTTTTGTTTTGTGGTTCCCACGAAGTGTTCTTAGGAGATTTCTGGTGGAGTCTGTCTTGTTTTGCTGCGTCGGGCTCATGTTCTAAGGACAGTTGTTTTAGCCCTTAGAACATGTTTGGGTTCTGACAGCATTTCGTTGTAGGACTCCTTAGGAATGCCGGGACGGTCGGTCCCCGCTCAAGTACAGGTGGGCTACCCAAACATGTGTTACATATAGTCAGCTGGGATGTTTGAGACATAGTTTTGACGATTTGGGTATAAATTTCGGGCACTGCTTCTTTTTCGTCCAACATCCGTTTGTACAGGGGGGCGCGCCCGGCCTCTCCCTGCGAAGTTCGGCGGCGAGCGAGGGGGTTCTCCCTGCGAAGTTCTCCCTCCGAAGTTCTCCCTGCGAAGTTCTCCCTGCGAAGTTCGGGTCCGAGGTTTGAGGTTTTCGGGTGTTTTCGTACATGCTCGACGTTTTTCCAGCCTCGGGGTGCTCGCCAGCAACTGCGCCCCGCCGCGGGCCTTCTGGGTGTGCCCGGACCGTTCCGAACGCCCGATGGAGACCCGAGGTATGACCCAAAAAACAAAGTTGGCAGCGAGAGAGGGGGGGGAAATCAGAGCCCCGAATCATCAGGGGTAACTCGGGTCAGGGATAACTCGGGTTCGTTTTCCGGGAATCCAAACCCGAGTTACCCCGGACCCGAGTTACCCCGGATAACTCGGGCGTCCAGAGCCCCGAATCATCAGGGGTAGCTCGGGTCAGGGATAACTCGGGTTCGTTTTTCGGGAATCCGAACCCGACTTACCCCGGACCCGAGTTACCCCGGATAACTCGGGCGCCCAAGGAAATGAAAAGGAGAAGGCGTTGTCGGAAGGCGGCAGTTTCTGGTCGGAGCCGACTGGGGGCCTTCAGAGGAGGAAAGGATACCGATACCTCCGCTACCCTTGCTTCGTTTTCCCGTTTGTGGGCGTCCGGGGGGCCCTCGTCGCCACCGCTGGATTCGCCTGGAGATTTGTGTCAGAACGCACCCCAGGAGAGGTCCTGGGAGTAGCGGTCTGGATTTCTTTTCGGGTTCCCCAGATCTGAGGTGGCCCAGCACTGGTTCCAGCGAGCAGCAAAGGGGGGAGGGGGAAGGGCGAGATTCGAGGTTTTGGGTTCGAGCATGCTTTTTGGTTTTCTTCGGCCTCCAGGAGCCCGTTCGGAAAACCTCCCTGCGATCACGGGCGTGACCGGCCCCGCCCCCCCCCCCTCCCTCACGTCACGGCGGTCGTCTGGTGGCGACCGCGGACGTCCTGTGGCGCTCGCAGTCTACTGTGGTGTTCAGAGGCGCGCTGTGGTACTCGCGAGGGGAAGCGGTTGCGTGCGTGCCGCGTGATGCTTTCAGGGACGCAGTGCTTTTCTGTTTCTGACAGGCATTGGTGCGTTGGTCGTAGCGCGGCGCTCGTAGCTGCCAGCGCTGTGGTGTATACAGGCACTGGAGCTCCTCCTCCTCCTTCTCCTCCTCCTCCTCCTCCTCTTCGTCCGGCCTTTCTGATGCGAGTTTATGTGCATCCGGTATCGATTCGTTGACTTTTTGGCCTCCGGGCGCCCTGGGCCCCTCCAGGAGCCTTCTTGAGGCCTGGAACGGAACGATTAGAGTTCTTTTTGTATCCGGTATCGATTCGCTGATTTTGTTGGCCTCTGGGCGCCCTGGGCCCTTCCTGGGACCTTGAGAAATCCGCTGCAAAAAGACTCCGATTGAAATCCTCCACGGAAGGATCCCCATTGATATCTGCCGCAGAAGAATTCCTATTGAAATCCTCGCCGGAGGAGAAGGGGAAAAGAGAAGGAGGAGGAAGATGAGGAGGAGGAGGACAGGGGGGGGAGAAGGAGGAGGAGGAGGAGGAGGAGGAGGATGAGGACGAGGAGGACGAGGAGGGGGAGCCTGGAACGCAACGATGACTGTTTATTCTTCACTGGTATCGATTCGTTTACTTTCTTGCCTCAAGGCGCTCCTGGTCCTTCCGGGGGGGGGGCCCGGAACGGAACGATTGGAGTTTATTTGTATCTGGTATCGATTCTTGTACTTTTTGGCCTCCGGGCGCCCTGAACCCTCCCTGGGGCCTTCCGGGGGCCTGCAACGGAACGATTAGTAGTAGTGGTAGTAGTAGTAGTAGTAGTAGTAGTAGTAGTAGTAGTAGCAGTAGTAGCAGTAGCAGTAGCAGTAGCAGTAGCAGTAGCAGTAGCAGTAGTAGTAGTAGTAGTAGTAGTAGTAGCAGTAGTAGTAGTAGTAGTAGTAGTAGGAGTAGGAGTAATAGTAGTAGTAGTAGTAGTAGTAGTAGTAGTAGTCGTAGAAGTAGTAGTAGTAGTAGTAGTAGTAGTAGTAGTAGTAGTAGTAGTAGTAGTAGTAGTAGTAGTAGTAGTAGTAGTAGTAGTCGTAGTAGTTGTAGTAGTAGTAGTAGTAGTCGTAGTAGTAGTGATAGTAGTAGTAGTACAACTACTACTAGTAGTACTACTACTACTACTACTACTACTACTACTGCTAGTGGTAGTGGTAGTGGTGGTAGTGGTGGTATTGGTGGTAGTGATGGTAGTGGTGGTACTGGTGGTAGTGGAGGTGGTGGTGGTGGTGGTAGTGGTAGTGGTAGTGGTAGTGGTAGTGGTAGTGGTAGTGGTAAGGTTCGTGGTAGTGGAAGTGGTAGTGGTATCGGTAGTGGTAGTGGTAGTGGTAGTGGTAGTGGTAGTGGCAGTGGCAGTGGGTGTGGGAGTGGGAGTGGGAGTGGGAGTGGGAGTGGGAGTGGGAGTGGTAGTAGTAGTAGTAGTAGTAGTAGTAGTAGTAGTAGTGGTAGTAGTAGTCGTAGTAGTAGTAGTAGTAGTAGTAGTAGTCGTAGTAGTAGTTTAGTAGTAGTAGTAGTCGTAGTAGTAGTAGTAGTAGTAGTGTAGTAGTAAGTGGTTGTTCGTAGTAGTAGTAGTAGTGGTAGTAGTAGTAGTTGCAAGAGTAGTTGTAGTTAGTAGTAGTAGTCGTAGTAGTAGTGTAGTAGTAGTAGTAGTGGTAGTGGTAGTAGTAGTAGTAGTTGATAGTAGTAGTAGTAGCAGTTTGCCCGTAGTAGTAGTAGTAGTAGTTAGTAGTGAGTAGTAGTAGTGAAGGGTAGTGGTAGTAGTAGAAAGTAGCAGTAGTAGTAGTAGTATAGTCTAATGGTAGTTAGTCGCAGTAGTTTGTTTCGTTAGTAGTTCGCAGTAGTACGTAGTAGTACGTAGTAGTAGTAGTAGTAGTAGTAGTAGTAGTAGTAGTAGTAGTGGTGGTAGTAGTCGTAGTAGTAGTAGTAGTAGTAGTAGTAGTAGTAGTAGTAGTAGTTGTAGTAGTAGTAGTAGTAGTAGTAGTAGTAGTAGTAGTAGTGTAGTGGTAGTGGTAGTGGTAGTGGTAGTGGTAGTGGTAGTGGTAGTGGTAGTGGTAGTGGTAGTGGTAGTGGCAGTAGTAGTAGTAGCAGTAGTAGTAGTAGTAGTGTAGGAGTTAGTAAGTAGTCACTTCATAGTAGTTAGTAGTAGTAGGAGGAGTAGTGTAGTAGTAGTAGTAGTAGTAGTAGTAGTAGTAGTATGTAGTAGTAGTGGTAGTTAGTAGAAGTCGTAGTAGTAGCAGTAGCCCGTAGTAGTAGTGTAGTAGTCGTAGTAGAGTAGTAGTGAAGTAGTTTAGTCGAAGTCGTATTCGTTAGTTAGCCAGGTTTTGTCGTAGTAGTGTAGTAGTAGTAGTAGTTAGTAGTAGTATACTACTAGGTACTCGTATTAGTAATGTTAGTAGTTAGGAGTTAGTAGTAGTAGTAGTAGTAGTAGTAGTAGTAGTCGTAGTAGTTCTTAGTTGTTAGTCGTCGTGTAGTCGTAGTAGTAGTAGTAGTAGTAGTAGTAGTTAGTAGTAGTAGTAGTAGTAGTTAGTAGTAGTAGTAGTAGTGGTAGTGGTAGTAGTACTAGTACTAGTAGCAGTAGTAGTAGTAGTAGTAGTAGTAGTAGTAGTAGTAGTAGTAGTAGTAGTAGTACCAGTAGTAGTAGTAGTAGCATGTTCCGGTACCCCAGGCGCACCCCCGCCGTGAGGTGATCGGCGGGGCGTCCCCCCCCCCATCACGCCCGTGACCGGCCCGAATACACGAATGGGCTCCAGGAGCCTTTGTTTGCGGGCCCTGGGACAGTCATGAGCGGATCCTGGGTGGGAAACTGCGCCAGTTGAGCCCCTGTCGGGACCGATTTTGAGCGGATTTGCCCTCCCACCCTGTTGACCGATTTTCTCACAGACCAACCAGCTGAGACCACCTGGCCGCCTCCAAGTGCCCAGGCCACCCAAATGGGGCTCGAGCAGATGTGGCGGGGGGATCGCTCCGCATCGCCGATGCATCTGCGTCATGGCTCGATGAGGACCCCGACTTCTTGACGTCGACGCGATGATGTATCGGCGATTCGCCGGCGATGCGGCACGATCCTCCGACCCCATCTATTCGGACACTATCTAGGAGGCGCTCCAGGTTCGGGACGATCGAAATGGGTACGGAAAGGACGGGCACAAAAACCAACAGCAGTTACTGTTCGTTTGAGCAGGACTCGCTGTCAGTGTCGCCGCGGACTGCGTCCATTAAGGACAAAAAGACCGCCTGTCCAACAGCAGCCGCTGATGGTTTGGGACAAAATTTGTTGTTGGGCATTGTACCCAGCTGTTCCGTACCCACATCGGGCGTCCGAATAGATAGTCTGCTTTCGGGGGGGGGGCCCTGCGGGCAACAATTCGCAAACGGCAGCAATTTCAGAGCCTGGAAGAACAAATAGCACTCATGGCAAACAGCTTCCAATGCACACATCTCACTGCATGCAGCAACTTCTGAAGGCACAGATTTCACCGAAAGCAGACTTTGTCAGAATCCACACATTTCTGAAGGCAGCAATTTTCATTGGAAGCATGTTTTGAAGGCAAAAATTTGGCCGTCATTTATTTTCGAAGGCCTTGCGGTCGATGCCGCCGACCCTGAAGGAAAACGGCAACGACAAGGCGGCGGCGGCGGCGGCGACGACGACGACGACGACGCTGACGTGGGCCAGAGAAACTTGGGGTCTCTTCGGAGGGCTCTCGAGGGGCTCGGGGGAGGAATACTGAGGCCTCTTGGGGGCATCTAGGGAGCCTCTTGGGGCCTCTTCGGACTTCCTGGAGGCCTCTTGTGGGCCTCTTGGGGCCTCTTGTGAACCTTTTGGGGCCTCCTCGGATCCTCCCGTGTCCTTGGGGCTCGGGCCCCCCGGCTGGGCACGCTCTTGGAGCCGTCTTGGGGGGCGTTTGGGCCGTCTTGGAGGCGTTGTGATGTGTCTTGTGGTCCTCTTGGGCTGTGTTCTGGCCCTCTTGGAGGCTTTGCGGCCGTCTTCGGGCGATCTTCTTTGGCCGTCTTGGAGTGGCGGGGAGCGGAAAAGTCGATAACGCCCTCATGTTGGAAAAGAGTAAGGCACGTCAATGAATTTTGCCCCGTGGGGCCCTTCTCGGGAGTTCTCCTGGAGGCTTCTTGGGACGTCTTGGCGGCCTCTTGGGCAGTCTGGAGGGCGCGAAGGCGTTGTCGACCGATCGTTCGGCGATTGGGAGCTCTCTTGGAACGTCTCGCGGGCATCTTGGGGCACTCTTGGCTTGTCTTCAGGGGGCTGCGTATCTGGCCGCCCCCCCTCCCCCGGGACTACCCCCCCTACCCGCCCCCAACCCTTCCAGGTTCCCCCCCCCGACGGGGGAGGGATCAAAGGGAAGGGGCTTCCTTTAGACTAGATTACGATATTGCTAGATCTGTCTCTCGCTGACAGGCTTGAGGAGGAGGGTGCAGGGAAAGGGGGCGACGGAGACGACGACTGACGGAGACGACGACTCGAACAGAGAAGCCCCTGACACAGGCCGACAGGGTCGGTGGATTCCAGCCTTCAGCACAAGTTTGGTGCCTTCAGTCAGCGCGCACAAGACAGCATGGCTTCAGACAACATGCTGCCTTCAGTGAATTCGCTTTCCTTCAGTGAACTCATAGTCGCCACGGCTGGACGCGGCTCGGGAAACTGGTGCGCATGGACCCGTACATGGGTCCGAAGCTTGCCCTGCTCCGAGCCGAGGAGCAGGCGACGGCATAAGCACAGACTTTCGGAGGTCCGCGCGAAGGTTGTCGGAAAGGCGCTGGGCCCCTCTGGCGGCGCCGGTGGCGCCGCCCTTGCCGCGCCCCGCGCGGACCTCCAAAAGTTTGCGCCGGCAGCGGGATCCGAGCCCCTGCCCTCGCCGATCCACGATGCAGGCATCTCGGTGGGCGGCGGGGATGGGCTTCGGAATTCGCTGAGCTCGTGGCGAAGTCCGAACCCCACTCCCGCCTCCCATCGATTCCGGAGAGTCGATGGTTGGAGGCACCTGAATCCCCAGAACCCCGACGTCATACTGTTTCATAATCACGACCCGCAGTTCTCGACCCATTCCCCAGGAACCGTTTTTCATCCAAAGTCGTTTTTTATCGGCCCCGAGGCCTGGCAAGGGCCCCCAGCGGTCGGAAGCAGCGAAAGACCTTGCGTCTTTAGTTTTTCATGACTCGAGGGGGTCTGGATTTGCTCTTGCACTCGCCGCTCGCGAGGTCTTATGCTCATGTCAGGGGCAACGATCGGGGGGGGAAAAGCAAAGAGGGGGACGCATCGACCCCCAGTCGCCCATTCATCGCCCATAGGTCTCTGATAGCGCCGCCCCGCCCAGGAACATGCGCACTGATTATCGGAGACACATCGCCGATCTATCGGCGGTGTATCGCCGAGTCCATGTTGATGTTTTTGCATGCCAGTCCCCCCCTATCGCTGCCCCTCCTCATTCGACTAGACGTAGAAGTGACTTCCTTCGCCGGAGTGACCTTTGGTGGGGGCCCCATGGGATGCCCCGATCACCGAACGCGATGCGATAGTAGCGTCTTGCGTGCCTGGGTCTGCCCCCCCCCCCGCGGCCCCTGACCTCATCCCTTTGCGCCATGTTTCAAGCCAGCTCGATGGATGAGGGCCCCGAGGCCCGGAATTCAGCGAAGACGCCCGCTGCGAAAACATCTCGGCGCCAGGATCTCAGGACCCGTTCCCCTCGAGGGGTTCCCCGACCCCTGACGTCGTGACAAGTTTCGCAGCCTCGACCCCTGGAGGTCCGGACCCCTTCCCCTGGACCGCCTCTCGCCTCGAGTCGTGTTTTGACGGGCCCGAGGTCTGGCGAGGGCCTTCAGAGGGCGACAATTTGGGAAACAAATCTTCCCCCGGCGACATTTCACAGCGCCAGGGGGTCCTTTTTGCTTGGGACGGCCCCGAGGCCTGGCGAGGGCGTCCAGGGGACGAAGGTGGGGAAAAAAACCTCCCGCCGTGAGTTTGTTCGCAGCGCAAGGGGGTCGTGGGCCTCCTCGATCGACACCTTCCTGCTCCTCCTCCTCCTGCTCCTCCTGCTCCTCCCCCTCCTCCTCCTGCTCCTCCTCCTCCTCCTCCTTCTCCTCCTCCGCCTCCTCCGCCTCCTCCTCCTCCGCCTCCTCCTCCTCCTCCCCCTCGGGAGGTGCCCGCGGCAGAGGCCGTCCGGTGCCCGCGGCAGCCGCAGCAGCCACAGCACCCGCCCCCGCCGCCACGGGCCGCGGGCGGCCTGGCGCCGGACCTGTCGCCGGAGCCCGCCCTCGGGGCAGCCCCGCGCGGGCGCGAGGTGCCCGCACTGCGCGGGCAGGAGCCCCGCGGGGGAGCCCCAAAAGAAGAAGCTCGGGTCCAGGCCTCCCAGAGGGGGTCCGAGTGGACTCGGAGGAGGAAGAGATGCCCATGCCTCTTCCCTCTGCTCGTTTTCCCCATCTTGGGCCTCCTCGGAGGCCTTCGTCGCCACCGCTGGATTCGCCTCGAAATCCGGGTCAGAACGCACCCCGGGAGAGCCCCAGGGGAGCCCCAAACCCAGAGGTCCAACGTGTTGAGAAAATCAAGACGGAGGTTTTGCAAAGTCTTCGGCCTCTATAGGGGCCCTCGCAGGGGCCCCGGGACCGACAAGAGACGGCTCAGGACGAAAAACCGTTCCCGGGGAACGGGTCGGGACTTCCAGGGAGCCCGTATTGAAAAAAAATCCCGGCAAAGCAACCTAACAGCGATGTGTAGAAGCATATCTGGAAGCATTGCCCTTGAGATTCATGTAGGAGTCCTGGTGTAGAATTCTGGTGTCCTCGCAGTCGCTCGTCCTCCTGCTCGTCCTCGCATGTAGGAGTCCTCGTCCTCCTCCTCCTCCTGCTCGTCCTCCTTCTCCTGCTCCTCCTCCTCCTCCTCCTCCTCGTGCTCGTCCTCGTCCTCCTCGTCTTGCTCGTCCTCCTCCTCCTCGTGCTCTTGCCCCTGCTCCTCCTACAGTTGGCTCCGGGCATTGAAAATGCGGCCCGGGAATGGAGTTCTGGGAACTCGAAGAGCACGAAGTGGCCTACAGTTGGCTCCGGGCATTCAAAATGTGCCCAGGAATGGAGTTCTGGGAACTCGAAGAGCACGAAGTGGCCTACAGTTGGCTCCGGGCATTCAAAATGTGGCCCGGGAATGGAGTTCTCGGACCTCGAAGACCACGAAGTGTGTAACTGTTGGCTAAAATTACTCCGACGGAAGAACCCCACATAAGAATCCTCTGGGCGAATCTGGAAAAAGCCATCACCGTCGTCCTCGTGGTTGGTGAGGCGTCCTGGCTGTCTCTTCTGCGTATATTTCCTCTCGCCTTGGCGCGGGCCCCCCTTCCACTCCTTACGTTGTCCCCATCCTCGCCCCCCTGTTTGTTCCGCGCCCCGCCACCTCCTCCCCTTCCTGTTGCATGAGCGCGCATGTCGATGTTCCTCGGCGCCGTCGCCGCCACGGCCAGCACAGGCGCGTTCTCTACAGGTCACGTCGCGCAGCCGTTGGGACAACCCCGCGGGCCAGGCTGTCGGGACAACTCCGCGAGCCGTTGGCGCGCAAGACCAAGCCGTTGGGACAACCCCGCGGGCTTCGAGCGAGGCGCAGCCGCGCTCAGGCGGAAGGCAGCACGAAGCCCAGCTCTGCCGCGAGCTGCTTCGCCTCCGCCCTGGACAAAACCGTTCTCTTGTCGAACTCCAGGAGCGCCTTCCGCAGGGACGCCGGCGGCCCGCACTCCAGGAACTCTCGCGGCGGCGGCCGCAGGATCAGCATGTTCCGCATGCACGTGGCGCGGGAGAACATGACGTAGAGGTGCAGCCACCACTGCTCGTCCGACATGCCCGTGCGGCCAGCGTCCTCGTCTCTCGCGCAGTCGATGGTGACGCCCTTGCGCAGCGTCTGGCCCTGCGACAGCGTGGAGGTCAGGTAGGACGCGTGCGTCAGGGTGAACCCCGAGCGGCGCACGCTGTGCGCCCCCGAGCTCTGCCATGTGAACTCCCTTTCGCTGGGCCTGAACATCAGCAAGCTCCGCGCCCGCGCCTCGGCCTGGCCGTCGTCGTCGGCGCCTTCGGCGCCCTGTCGCAGCACCTCGGCGACCTGAGGAGCCCAAAAACTTCCTTGTTGCATCCAAAGTGTGGCCTGGGAACTGCGTTCTGGCAGCGCGAGAACCCAACATTGACGACAGTTACAGGTTTTGGATGACCTGCTCGGATTACCAACATGATCTGCGGGCCCCATAGGGAGGGGGCTCCCGCCTGAGACTTCCTCGCAGTTCACTCACAGACGAGGCTCCCGCCTGAGACTTCCTCCATATTCAGGCTTGAGGAGCCCAAAAGTGACGACAGTTACAGTTTCCGATGACCCGCTCGGATTACCAACATGATCTGCGGGCCCCATAGGGAGGGGGCTCCCGCCTGAGACTTCCTCACAATTCACTCAAAGACGAGGCTCCCGCCTGAGACTTCCTCCAAATTCAGGCTTGACGAGCCCAAAAGTGACGACAGTTACAGGGTTCCGATGACCCGCTCGGATTACCAACATGATCTGCGGGCCCCATAGGGAGGGGGCTCCCGCCTGAGACTTCCTCCATATTCAGGCTTGAGGAGCCCAAAAGTGACGACAGTTACAGGGTTCCGATGACCCGTTCGGATTACCAACATGATCTGCGGGCCCCATAGGGAGGGGGCTCCCGCCTGAGACTTCTTCACAATTCACTCAAAGACGAGGCTCCCGCCAGAGACTTCCTCCAAATTCAGGCTTGACGAGCCCAAAAGTGACGACAGTTACAGGGTTCCGATGACCCGCTCGGATTACCAACATGATCTGCGGGCCCCATAGGGAGGGGGCTCCCGCTTGAGCCTTCCTCAGAATTCACTCACAGACGAGGCTCCCGCCTGAGACTTCCTCCATATTCAGGCTTGAGGAGCCCAAAAGTGACGACAGTTACAGGGTTCCGATGACCCGCTCGGATTACCAACATGATCTGCGGGCCCCATAGGGAGGGGGCTCCCGCCTGAGACTTCTTCACAATTCACTCAAAGACGAGGCTCCCGCCAGAGACTTCCTCCAAATTCAGGCTTGACGAGCCCAAAAGTGACGACAGTTACAGGGTTCCGATGACCCGCTCGGATTACCAACATGATCTGCGGGCCCCATAGGGAGGGGGCTCCCGCCTGAGACTTCCTCACACTTTACTCAACGATGATGAGGATGAGGATGATGAGTGGTGGTGAAGATGAGTGGTGAAGAGGATGATGATTGATTGTGGGTGGTGGTGGCGATGATGATGTTTGAATGAGGATGATGCCGATACCGATGATGACGATGATGTTCGTGAGCGTGTGAGAGAGTGCGAGTGATGATGATGTGTGTGTGAATGAGTGCGAGGAGAAGAGGGGGTGAGTGAGATCTCTCTCCTGCGCGGGGGTGTGCAGAGAAAACAAGAACCCCACTTTGGATGTGGGGAAAAATCCCGGCTTCCTCCCCTGGATCGCGCTCAGACCCCCTTGGGGCGTCATGATGCTCTACTAGAAACCTATCAGTCTTCGCTGTTAGGCAATTATAAGAACATCGATGGATTCAATTTGATCACGTTTCGGGGGTGCGACAGTGTCGTGGATCCTATTTTTGCCTTGCGCGGATCCATGTCTCCGCGTGTGGATAACCAATCGATCAATGTATAATCTCTTCAGTGTTTGAAGAAAAATGGATCCAATTAAGTTCCGAAAATACACAGATGATCACATGTAACATCCCAGACCCACGGGAAATGGCATCCGCGGGGCACCGCACGTGAAGCATCATGCTACCCACGGAACTGTGGATCTGCTGACCATGCTATGACTCTACGGGTAAAGGGGGGTCCTCATAGGACGGGGAGGGGAAAAAGGAGGGAGGAGGCACGAAGCCGAACGGAACGCTACATGTATCCGCTCACCTGAACGGCACGTCGTTTCCGACATTTGGGGTTCAAGCGGAAAATGATTCTTAGGCTTACGCCACACCGCCGACCCCTTGTTTATGCCAATCTGGGGGTAGTAGAAGCTGCGAAGGGGTGAAAAGGCGAGTGATATTTGTTTGGTGTCTGTTCGCCGCCACCGCCAGAGGGTCTCGGGCAGTTCCGCGGGGAGGTCCGAGCGGACAGCGACACTGCGAGTTTTGGAGCCACTCGGGGGCCGTTTCGGAGCCTCTGGGGTGCTTCTTGGGGGTTCCTTGGGGCGTCTGGGCGGCCTCGTGAGGGCCTCTGGGGGCCTCTTGGGGCACTCTTGGGGCCCCCTGGGGCTCCTGGGGGCAGAAAGCTAGAGTTTCAACATGTTTGGTCGCCCTCTTGGGCCCCTCTTGGTGCCGTCTTGGAGCCCTCTTGGGCCGTCTTGGGGACCTCTTGGGCCGTGTTGGGGCCGTCTTGGGCCGTCTGGAGGCCGTCTTGGGGGCCTCTTGGGCCATCTTGGGGCTATCTTTGGGGCCTCTTTGCCCGTCTTGGAGCGTCGGGAAGCCGGAAAGGCGGAAAAGCAAAAAACATCGAAAAACACTCTGGAAAATCAGCAATTTTGACTCTTTGGGCCCTCTTGGGAGGCTCATTTGGGACCTCAGGGGCCGTCTTGGAGACCTCTTGGCCCGTCTTGGGGCCATCGTGGGCGTCTTGGAGCGGTCGTTTGGCTTCTCGGAGCCTTCGTGGGCCGTCTTGGAGGCCTCTTGGGGGCTTCGTGGCCCGTCTTGAAGCCCTCTTGGGCCAGGAAAAGCCCCGTGGAGCGCTCGTCCCGGACCCCCCCCCCCCCTCCAAATCGACCGGACCGGGCTCCCGGGGGAGGGGTTTGGGGAGGGGGAAGCATCTCACACGCCGATGATCCCCAAGGGGTCGGCGGATCTTCCCTGCGTTAGCGGGATTTCGAACTGCGTCCTTCCCACTAACAGTTTCGCAAATGTGCGGCGCGGGGTGCCGGATCCTTCCTCCCCAGGCCGAGAATTTATCCTCTTGGACTAAAACTATGATCCCGGCAAAGCAACCTAACAGCGATGTGTAGGAGCATACCTGGAAGCATTCCCCTTAAGATTCAGACGAGAATCTTGTTGTAGAATTCTGCTGTTCTCGCAGTCGTAGTCGCATTCGCGATGGCAGTCGCAGTGGCAACGGCAGTCGCAGTCACGGCCTCAGCCTCAGCCTGCCTCAGCCTCAGCCTCAGCCTGCCTCAGCCTCAGCCTGCCTCAGCCTCAGCCTCAGCCTGCTTCAGCCTCAACATCAGTCTGCCTTCAGCCTCGGCCTCAGCCTCAGCCTGCCTCAGCCTCATCAGCCTCAGCAGCCTCCTCAGCATCAGCCGGCCTCAGCCTCAGCCTGCCTCAGCCTCAGCCTCAGCCTCAGCCTCAGCCTCAGCCTCAGTCTGCCTCAGCCTCAGCCAGCCTGCCTCAGCCTCAGCCTCAGCCTCAGCCTCAGCCTCAGCCTCAGCCTGCCTCAGCAGCCTGCCTCAGCCTCAGCCTGCCTCAGCCTCAGCCTGCTTCATCAGCCTCAGTCTGCTCAGCCTCGGACTCAGAGCCGCAGCCTGCCTCAGCCTGCATCAGCCTCAGCCTCAGCCTCAGCCTGCCTCAGCATCAGCCTCAGCCTGCCTCAGCCTCAGCCTCAGCCTCAGCCTCAGCCTCAGCCTCAGCCTGCCTCAGCCTCAGCCTCAGCCTGCTTCAGCCTCAGCCTCAGTCTGCCTTCAGCCTCGGCCTCAGCCTCAGCCTGCCTCAGCCTCAGCCTGCATCAGCCTCAGCCTCAGCCTCAGCCTGCCTCAGCATCAGCCTGCCTGCCTCAGCCTCAGCCTCAGCCTGCTTCAGCCTCAGCCTCAGTCTGCCTTCAGCCTCGGCCTCAGCCTCAGCCTGCCTCAGCCTCAGCCTGCATCAGCCTCAGCCTCAGCCTCAGCCTGCCTCAGCATCAGCCTGCCTCAGCCTCAGCCTCAGCCTGCCTCTGCCTTAGCCTCAGCCTGCTTCAGCCTCAGCCTCAGTCTGCCTTCAGCCTCGGCCTCAGCCTCAGCCTGCCTCCTCAGCCTCAGCCTCAGCCTCAGCCTCAGCCTCAGCCTCAGCCTGCCTCAGCATCAGCCTGCCTCAGCCTCAGCCTCAGCCTGCCTCAGCCTCAGCCTCAGCCTGCTTCAGCCTCAGCCTCAGTCTGCCTTCAGCCTCGGCCTCAGCCTCAGCCTGCCTCAGCCTCAGCCTGCTCAGCCTCAGCCTCAGCCTCAGCCTGCCTCAGCATCAGCCTGCCTCAGCCTCAGCCTCAGCCTGCCTCAGCCTCAGCCTCAGCCTGCTTCAGCCTCAGCCTCAGTCTGCCTTCAGCCTCGGCCTCATCCTCAGCGTGCCTCAGCCTCAGCCTGCATCAGCCTCAGCCTCAGCCTCAGCCTGCCTCAGCATCAGCCTGCCTCAGCCTCAGCCTCAGCCTGCCTCAGCCTCAGCCTCAGCCTGCTTCAGCCTCAGCCTCAGTCTGCCTTCAGCCTCGGCCTCAGCCTCAGCCTGCCTCAGCCTCAGCCTGCCTCCTCCTCAGCATCAGCCTGCCTCAGCATTCAAAATGTGGCCTGGGAATGGAGTTCTGGGAGCTCGAAGAAAAGGAAGTGGCCTACAGTTGGCTCCGGGCATTCAAAATCATGCAGGAATGGAGTTCTGGGAACTCGAAGAGCACGAAGTGGCCTACAGTCGGCTCCGGGCATTCAAAATGGTGCCCGGGAATAGAGTTCTGGGAACTCGAAGACCACGAAGTGGCCTACAGTTGGCTCCGGGCATTCAAAACGTGGCCCGGGAATGGAGTTCTGGGATCTCGAAGACCACGAAGTGCGCCCAGACCCCCCTGGGCGTCATGATGCTTTCTTTTGACCCTACTAGAAGCCTATCAGTCTTCGCTGTTAGGTAATCAAGACATCGGATGTTTGGGAAGGAAGCTCGGGTCTGGGCCTCCCAGGTGAAAGGAGGAGGAGGAGGAGGAGGAGGAGGAGGAGGAAGAGGAGGAGGAGCAGGAGGAGGAGGAGGAGATGGGGGTCGGAGGATCGCGCCGCGTCGCCGATGCGTCGCCGATGCTGCTCGATGTGGAGCCCGATTTGCTTCACGTCGACGTCGCCGATGCATCGCCCACGTCGCCGATGCATCGCCGGTGCATCGCCGGTGCATCGCCGATGCATCGCCGATACATCGGCGATGCATTGGCGATGCGGCGCGATTCTTCGACCCCATCTTCTCGGACCCCATCTAGGTGGCCTGTCAGGTCGGGAGAATCGGAGTGGGAACGGGAGGAATAGGTACCCAGACCCCCTGGCGTTTCTGGAGGTTTCCCCTCCCAAGGGGAAGGTGAGGGGAGGTTTCCCCTCCCAAATTTTCGTCCTCTGGAGGCCCTCGCCGGGCCTCGGGACCGTAAAACAAGTTCGCGGGGCCAGAAACCGGTCCCGGGGAAGGGGTCCAGACATCTGGGGGTCGACGTTGCGAAAAAAAACGTCGGGGGTCTGGGCACACGGACCGACAGCAGTTCCTCTTCATTTGGAGCAGGACTCGCTGTCAGTCTTGCCGCGGGCGGTGCCCGAGCCGGGGAGCCCATAGCTTAGGGCAAGGGGCAGGGGGGTGGCAGGCCTGGCTCGGGGGTTGCCCAGATCGGCGGCGAGCCCGGGGGGGGGGACGAGGGCGAGGGGCGGGCCTTCTCAGAAGGCTCTCCGGAAGTCCCCCCAGGCCTCTGCGAAGTCTTCGAAGCCTTCCTCGAAGGCACGGGAGGTTCGCAGAGGGCGCAGGGGCTTCTGAGGAGACCCACCGTCCTCTGAGGAGGCCTTCTCCTTCTCGCTCCCCCCCTCGCCTGCCGCCGATCAGAAGGGCCCCTGGCCCAAGGTGTCCCCAGCCTCTCGCTCCACTTTGGATCCCCTGGGCCCCCCTGGGCCTCAATGGTGTGGCCCGGAGGCCGAGAGGGCCTCCGTGAAGATCCGGGGGGCACCTTGGGCCAGGGGCACTTCTGTAGCAGCACCCAGGTTCGAGAGTGCAGGTTTCGCAAGGGGCCGGCCTTCTTCCAAGAGTGGCGAACATCCTTGTGGACGCCTGCGAGAACTCTCCCGGAAGGGTTCCTGAAGGCGTTTCGGCTGCTTCGGGGGGCTTCCTGTCGTTTGGAGGAAGACCAGTCCCCCAATGAAACTTGGGCTTTCTATAGGGGTAGTCTCCGGCGAACCGACCCCCAATCGCCCCTGTGTCCCCGATGCCGCCCGCGGGGCCCGATGGCCCACCCCGCCCAGGAGCGTGCGGTTTCGCTATCGTTTGGGTATCGCCGACCTTTCGGCGATGTATCGCCGACTCCCGGGCTGGACCTAAACACGGTGTTTTGGCCTTTCCGTGGGCCGTTTTCGGTTCGACTTCGCTTTGCGGTTAAAGGCGGAATCGGAGACAAAACGCGGAACAACGAAAACAACACGAAAACGAAAACACCCTTTAGGTTCAGCCTATGTTCATCCCCCCTGAGCCGTTTCCCCTCTGACGTTGCCCCGCAAAAGCGGTCCAGTGACTGCGGCAGTTTCGCGCCGCGGCGATGCTGCGGCGAAGCCCAGAGCAGGCATGCATGGTGGAATGCCGCCGGTGGCCTGGAATCGGCCAGCATTGAACGAGCTACTATCGGAGGGTCGTGGCTGGGCGAGGTTGAATGACCCGCGCGGTGTCAGAAGCCAACGCCCGGGGCGTCAGGGTACGAGTCTTCCGTACGCCGTCCGGTGAGTTGGAGGTGCTTCTGGTTGGACGGATGGTTTAAGTGGCCCGTGTCGTTCTCCCCGATGGTGTTCTGCGAGGCTTGCACCTTCCGGGTCCGAACACCATCCAATGAGGTCTTCGTAATTTCGAGGCCATCTGGCCATCTGGCCATCTGTCACGCGATGCCTCCGAGGCTCCTTAGTCGGGCATTAAGGGAACGCCCACCCAGACAAGTCGACAGGACATCTGCACCACTTCACTCGACATTGGCATTCGCGTGGGCCAGTGGAGTTCCCAGTCGGTTTCGCTAGTCGGCGTGCTTTTCGCCGGGTGCATTCGATTGTTGTTGTCGGACGTCGATTCGCTACCCCGATGGGGTCCACTCGGAAGGGTGGCGCCGTGCGCACGTGGAGTGCCACTGTCAGTTCTCACTTCAGGGCGTTTTACTAAAGAGTGTTTTGACAAGCTTCCACTGGAGGAATCGGCATCGCAACTGAACGCCGTCGTCAAGCGCACCTTCCTCCACTTCTTCGTGCCTGGGGACGAAGGCGCGTTCGATCACCGCCGCTGCTCCTCGGCACCCCCGTTAATGCGGACGGGCTGACTGCAGGCGCCTCTCATAGAATTATTTCGCGGCCCAAGACGGCGAGGATGCCCCAGGGGCTCGGGCAATCTTTCGACGCGTGTTTGCACCCAATCACTGAGCCCCCGGGGCTCGGAGGCGGCCCTCCGGGGGGAAGCCACGACGAGACTGGCCAGCAGGGGCATGTCGCCGTCGGGGGCCCGAGGGCAGCCCCTCGGGGGGGGGAAGCCACCACGAGGCTGGGCCCGCGAGGACCCCCTCCATCGAGTGTGAGCTATACCTCAATCGGGCCTGTCCCTCTGCAGGAGAATATTCAGAAATAGTCAAAGAACAGCCTGGGGCCTGGGGAGGACTTTTGTTGACCGGGTTTGAGTATTTCAGTGTATTGTTGTTACTATGTTTTATTTGTCGTCCAAAGTCCCCCTGTAGGGGGACAGGCCCGACGTAAAGCTATGCTGTGGCAGACCCCGCTCGTGTCTTTTGCGCGGCTTCTGACCTGCAGCCCTTTAACTCCAGATGTCCCCAGACTCCCAGCGGCTCGTGCTCCTGGTTGAGGCACGGCGCCCGGGACCTTCCGACCCTCTCCACAAGGTTGGCGCTTCGTCGCAAGCAGCCCCTCGATGTTCCCATAGGCCCCTAAGACAGCCCCGGAGGCCCGGACATCGCGAAATGCCTCGGCATGGTGCTCTGTTGAGCCGCCGGTTGTCTGGCCAAGCAGGGGCAACGACGGGGGGGATGGGCTCAGGGAGGGATTCGACCAGCCCGCAACGCCCACTGATCGTCGATTAGGGGTCTGGCCGCCCCGCCCCGCCCAGGAACGCCCAGGTTCGCCCTCGGGGGCCTAGCGCCCATCTATAGGCAGTGTGTCCCCGAAGGGCCGATGGCCCGCCCCCTGAGCCAGTCACTCCGTGTCGTTGTCCCTCGCTCGCGCTCGCAATCCTCCTCCATCCCCCCCATCCCCTTCGTGCTCGTCTGCATGCAGGTACCAGAGCCAGCCTGCTAGGCCTTTTTTTTCAGCCGTCTGGAATGAGCTTTTGGTCAGCGCGTCCAGCGGCCGTCTTCCTTGACAAGAGGGAGGCCACATGCGTCACACATCCAACGTCTTGAAAAACTCAAGCCACAGGTTTGTTAATGTCTTCGTCATCTGGAGGCCCTCGCCGAATTCTGGGACCGTCGAAAGGCGACGCCTGGACGAAAGGCCAGCCTTGGGACAAGGGTGGGGACTATCGGGGGACTCGGCATTGAGAGAATCGAGATTCAGGACGTCGGATTGTTGGCTCCGCTGCCCGGCGGGAGTCGCATCCAGAGTGCCCTGGAGGCCAAAGGGGTCCTTCTGGGAAGGTCGAGGGTCACATCTGGCCAGGGCCACCTCATGGCAACGTCCAGTCGTGACCCTGGCCGTCTCCTGCCCGTCGCGGCTCGTCCCGCTCGGAGGCTTTCTCCGCTGGTCGCGGCTCGCTCCTGTCCCGGAGTGCATCGGACATGTTTATATCCGGGCGGTCTGAACCCATGGCTGGCTGGGGGAAGAACGTCCTGGTTTATATCCAGGCGCTCCGATCGAATCTGAGAGCACGTGCGAGCGGTAGGTGCTTTTTCACCGCGTGCTCTGCGTCCCTCGTTGCAGCATGCCCCCGCGCCCCCACACTCTCCCGCAATCTGGCTGCCTGCGGCATGCCCCGCCGCAGTGCCAGCGCAGCAGCGCAGCAGGAGCGAGGTTCCAGGTAGCGCCCAGTCTGAGTTACCGCGGGCTTAGCCTCGCTATCTCGATGCATTCTTTCACATTGGAGGCTTCTTCGAGGTTTATTCGGCTCTCTCAGGGCCCTCTTTGGGTCTCCTGGTTTTGGACGGGCACATGCTATCCCATCGTGCCCTGGCTGGCCCGCTCTGTTTCAGCTTCCCTCCATGTTTCGCTTAGTCATCCACCGTTGGTGGCAGATTTAGTGGTCTGAGTCCTGTTCCAGGGGGGGGCATGCTCTTTCTAAAACACGTTTGCAGTGTACGTGATATCGTTCGGCTTCTGGGGCCGACCTCGGTCTGCGGCATACGACAGGCGCTACTTGATGCAGGTCATAAGCAGGTTAAGGAACATCTATTCGGCCACCGACCAGATGGTCAACGTGTCCATAAGGATCCACTACACGGGTTCTGCGAATCTGGCAGCGCAGAATTCTTAGAGACCCTCGGCAGAGGGATGCCCCACGGCACAGATCGGAACCCCGGCATCGTGGGATATCCGTTAGCGCTTGGGCCCTCCTCCGCTCGGGCCGGCCGAAAGGGGGGATTGGGAATGGGGGGGTACGGAATCTGCTGCATGCAGCTGGTGTCGGCCCCACCGAGGGGCCCATTCCTCGATACATGGCCGGCGCCGGCGCCGGGGGGCGCCGGGAAAATCAGCCACGTGAACTGCTCCTCAAAGCCCCCCCTTTGCTATTCCCCCCTTTTGCCCCTGGCTCACCGTGCGGGACCCGCAGCGGAGGAGACCACGCAGCTCCACACGGGGGGTGGCGGAGGTGCCGGGGCGCCGGGAAAATCAGCCACGTGCGCTGATCCTCAACCCCCTCCCCTTTGCTATTCCCCCCCTTCGCCCGGGCCCGATCTCCGAAACCGCCCCTGACTCACCGTGCGGGACCCGCAGCGGAGGAGACCGTGCGGTTCCACACGGGGGGGGGTGGCGGAGATGGTGGGGGGGGAGGGGGCGACCGCCAGGCCACTCTTTTGCAAGCCAGAGGGCGCTCAGGGCGCATTGCGAAACCGCCTTCGGGCCCCGAGTTATGATTCAGAGTTTCTCGACTTCTTCCAGTTCGTCTCGAATGCTATCGCTCGGATTTGGCGGCGCGCTCAACTTTCGCACCCCCCCCACCGTTGGCGCCACCCCTCTGTGGAGCCGAGGGAGGAGACGAAGAAGAGGACGACAAAGAAGAAGAAGAAGAAGAAGAAGAAGGCCAGTATATGTGCGGGTATCCTGCCTGCGGCAAGCCCCGCCACCGCCGTACATTCTGAGTGGCGGTGGTGATTTCCGCACCGCCCAGAAGGCCGCAACATGTGTCACCTCTGGTCTCTATTCCTTGACGTCTCTCGTAGGGGCTGCCAAGGCCGTCTTGGGGGGGATTGCCGGGCTCCTGTGGGGCGCTCTCGGGGTCGGGGCTCTCGTGGGCCATCTCTGGTGCCTTCTTGGGCTCCTCTCGGCCGCCTTGGGGGAGGGAGCCTTAGGGCTGTACGGGGGGGGGTCTTCGGGCTCCTCTGGATGCCCGCTGGGCTGTCCTGGGCGTCTCTTCGGCCTGCTTGGGGCTCTCTTGGTGCTGTGCTGGGCCGTCGGTGGGGTTCCTTGATGTCCTCACTCGGCTCGTTCGGCCTCCTGGAACCGTGTGGAGCCGAGAGGCGCATCCCCACCACTCAAGAGTGCAGCGATCTCTTCGGGCTGTTCTCTCTGGCGTCCTCCTTTTGGCGCCACCAGTGGAATTCTCGGAGGCCGGCCGGGTGCATCTCGGCGGCCACGGTGGCCTCCTGGGACTGGAGAGCCCGGGGGACGTTCCTGGGGAGGGGGGAGCTGCACGCAGAAGCTGCGACGCGGCACCCCGCCACGCCTCAACGTGCCCGGGGGGGCACCGTGGAGGACCTCTCACAGCTTGCGGCGCCTGGGCGGGCGCCGCCGTTTCTGGCGCGAGCCAGCTGCTGCAGCGGAGGGAGGCGGGGCGCGCCATCGCCCCGGCGCGAGCCCCGGCCCACAGCGGCGCGGGGGGGCCGCGCGCCCATCCTGCGGCAAGGCTTTGGAAGGTCCTGCGAGCACGGTCGGCCTCTCCCCTGGCGCCGCTGCCCTGCCCCAGGCCCCGGCTCGCGGGCACGGCGCGGCTCGCCGCGGCACGTGCTCCGCCTTCGTAGGCCCTGGCCACGGCTCGGCACGCGGACACGACACGGCGTTTTCTTGACATTTTTGGGGCCTTGGCGCAGCACGGCACGGCGTGCGGGCGTGCCACGGCACGCCAGCATGGTACGGCACATGTCTTGCGTTCTAGAACATAGGCACGGCGGGTATTGCACGTAGCGTGACGGCGGTACATGAGTCGCATTTTAGAACATACGCACGGCATGCGGGCATTGCACGTAGCGTAACGGCGCGATCTATCTACAGGTTGCTGCCTCGACCGCCGACCCCAGAAGAGCTTTGGGCTGTCAGGCTTCGGTTTGTTATTCTTCCCGTAATCCATTTCGATCGCATTTCCGCGGCGCGCTTTGGGGGGAAATGTCTGGGAGTGCCTGCTGAGAAGGCGGCGGGGCTTCTCAGAAGCCTTCTCGCCTTTGGAGGTGTTGCCCGTGTCGTCGGACAAAAAAATGGCGGTGTCAGGCGTGGCGGGGGCAACGGTGGAGGGGTCCCAGCGGCGCGGTTTCGGGCTGGGAATGGTGAGGTTGGGGAGGGTCCCAAGAACAAAAAGCTCCGAGGGCTGGGCGGGGATGCCGGGCGAGGTCGACGGCGGGGGGTCGGCGGGGCAGTTTCGGGCCGGAAATTGTCGGGTCCCACACAGCAGAGGTCCGAGGGTTGGTTGGGGATCGAGGTCGACGGCGAAGGGTCGGCGAGGCGGTTTCGGGCCGGGCATTGTCGGGTCCCAAGAGGGTCTCAAGAGCGGAGGTCCCAAAGTTGGGCGGGGATGCCGGCCGAGGAGGTCGACGGGGGGGGTCTCGGCGGCGCGTCTTCGGGCTGGGAATTGTCGGGTGGTCGGGCCCCAACACCTGAGATCCCAGGGCTGCGTGGAGATGCCAGGCGAGGTTGACTGCGGGAGATCGGCGGAGCGGTTTCGGGCTGGAAATGGTCGCGCGGGGGGTCCCAACACCAGAGGTCCGAGGGCCAGGTGGGGATGCCGGGCGAGGTCCACGGCGGGGGTCGGCGACACGGATTCGGGCTGGGAATTGTCGGATGGGGGCTCCCAAGGAACAGAGGTCCCAGGGCTGGGCGGGAATGTCAGGCGAGGTCGATGAGGGGGTTTTCGGCGGCGCGGCTACGCACGTACGTAAAAGCCGTGTCATGACGGCACATCGGCAACAGTGCGATTAGTCAGAGTGAAACAGCATACTGTCGTACAGCGGCTTTCCACGTCTTGAAGCAGCCACTGTCTCTGCCCAGAGCGGCGGACAGACGATGTTCGTCTCCACCCACGGCCCTGATCGCATGCATTCTGGTTCTGTGCCCCCAAGAAACTCTTGGACGCCCTCGCTTTCGCACGCCGGCTGGCCGCGCCAGCTGCGTTGACGAAGGTTGGAAACTTGATCTGCGAACAATCTTGGTGTCTGGCATCAGTGCTACTTGTCCAAACAGGCACATTT